TGTTGACAAGTTTTACGTGAGTTTAAATAAACTGTAAAAAAAATGATGTTGCTTTCAGTGTCAGTTCCTTTTTGTTTCATGTCAGTTAAAACGTTTTAATAGAGAGTTCTAATAAACTGGAAGTGTCACTAAACAAAATACCTTGTGAACATTTATAATTTCGGACAAACGGTTGAAATTTCATAAATTAAAGGATAAAACATTTCACTCATGAGGCAATATTGAAATTCAAGTATTAAATAGAATAATATATATATTAATAATTACTAAATTGACTGAATGATTCTAACGTAAAAAAAACAACAAAAACCAAACCAACTTTTTAAATGTTATTTAAGTCCCGACAGCGAATGGTTAAAATAAAGTTTGGTGGATTAACATTTAATTTATATGTTTGACACAGTCCACAATACATCGTCAACATTGTTGTCAGAGGCTATAAAAGTATTCACCCCATAGACGTTTTACCATTTTATTGCTATTATAAGTTATAAAAGGTCTATTTGAATTAGCCTTAAAAAAAAAAAAGAAATAAACTACATTTCTACAAATTAATGCCAATTAAATAAATACATTTAAGGTAAACTAAATGATTGCAGAGTATTCACTCCCTTTAAGGCATATGTGTCAAACTCAAGGCCCGGGGGCCAAAATGTGGCCCTCATTGACATCTTATCTGGCCCATAAGATGATATTTTAAATGCAAAATACTGTTATCACTTTAATTTTCTCAATAATATTTGATGATGATGTAAAAACAAATGCATCAGTGAACATCAAATGAGACTAGTCAAGCTTTTTAAGTGGAATCTGCAACCAAGAAAACATGTTTAGCATCTAACGTGAGCTAATGTAGATTCTGAAATTGGTGGTTTTATTTTGGCCCCCTTTGTAAGTGGGTTTGACACCCCTGCAGGTGGCTAGTGTTCAACTCAGAGAATGTCATTGAAAGTCCATGGAGGGACGGGGAGGGGGGCGGGGGAGGCCTGCACACCTGAATGACCATGCAACGAGGAGA